TCTGGGCAAACATCTGTCTGAAGGAGTACTGTGTCGGCCTAACATCTGTCTGAAGGAGTACTGTGTCGGCCTAACATCTGTCTGAAGGAGTACTGTGTCGGCCTAACATCTGTCTGAAGGAGTACTGTGTTGGCTTAACATCTATCTCAATGACTACCTCTATTGGTAAAACATCTGTCTGAAGGAGTTCTGTGTTGGCTTAACATCTATCTCAATGACTACCTCTATTGGGCAAACATCTGTCTGAAATGGTACGAGTCTCCTGCTTGAACAGGAGGTGGAAGACCTCCAAAGTCCCTTCCAACTCTGTTATTCTCTGTGAGCTGATAGTAGGTCATTAAAAACACAATTGTAACTTGGATACAAAATCGTAAAATAATTTCTCAATCCCAGCAGAGCAGGGATAAGTCCAGTAGAATTGTATATAGACTGTATCTCCAGGAGCTGTTTTATCTGGAGATTGCCAGTGTGGGCTTACTCTCCAGAAAGCTCCCAAATACCACGGGTTAGTCACACAGACATGAATCTAACTGTTAAATTTCTACTTACGTGCGTAAGTTTGCCATAATAAGGGAAATACATGGGATCAAATGTCTCGCTTGGGAAAAAGTCCAGTGACTGGAGGTGACTTGGTTCGCCTTTCTGCAGTTCAAAACAGGATAATTATACTCAACATACTCAACAAATCGACAACAGGCGACTCCGTTGGTAGAAACCGGCTAGAAATCGTATAAAAATTGCCCTTCCCTTCTCCAAAATGCCCTGAGTATTTTGGATTACAAGCGGTCCTTCACTTAACCACCACAATTGGGGCCAACAGTTCTGCTGCTCAGACATTTTGAGTTCTGCCTTATTTGACGACCTTTCTTCCACAGTTGCTAAGCGAATCACTTCCGCTGTTAAATGAGTAACGTGGTTGTTAAGTGAATCTAGGTCCCTCATTGACTTTGCTGGTCAGAAAAAAATCGCAAAAGGGGGGGGGGATCACATGACCCCAGGACACTGCAACCGTCATAAATATGAGTCTCTTGCCAAGCACGTGAATTTTGATTGGGTGATCCGGGGAAAGCTGCAATGGTTGTGGGTGTGACTAACATTCCTGAGTCATTTTTTTTTCCAGTGCCGTCGCAACTTCGAGTGGTCACTGAATGAACTGTTGTAAATCGAGAAACTGCCTGTAATTGTTTTAAGGAACACAGGCCTGTGCAGTTTTTCCCTGCCAAAAATCCCACAGAAATTATTGCCTATCAGGGGAGGTAGGAGATCCTTGGGCTTGACATAGATAGTGGCCAAAAAAAGGTCAAAAGATGTAAAATTGGGCACTACTCAATGACCACATCGCTGAGCGACTGAAGTTCGAGTCCAAATTACTAGCCGGATGCCCTTCCTGTCACCAATGCGGAGTTTTGTTTAGCAGATATATTCTCAGTGTGCCCAGAGAGAGAAATACCATGTTTTCTCAAAAATAAGACAGAGTTTTATTTTCTTTCAACCCCCAAAATAAGCGCTTGGCCTTATTTTCGGGGAGGTCTTATTATTTTTGAGGTGCAGGAGGGAGTGAGTGTAGTCACCCCATGGCTGCTGCTGTGTTGCAATATTTTTTGGGAGGGAAGGGCTTATTTTAACGCATGCTCTTAAAAACCCGATTAGGCTTATTACGTGGGAAGTCTTATTTTCGAGGAAACAGGTTATCTGTCTCTACCTAGGATCGAACTCTGCACCAGTGGTGGGTTCCGGCTGATACGGCCCGGTGCAGCCATACCGGTAGTAGTCAGGAGCAGCTCATTTGGCCCACCTGCCTGCCCGCGTTCCATACCTCCGACAAGCAGCTGGGTGTCGCAGGGTCGGTAGAGGGGCTGCATGCATGCACAGCCCACATCTGGTACATGTATAGCACATGTTCGGTGCGTGTGCACGAACAGACCACGAGCAGCGTACCGCTAGCGACAGTAAGAGCAACCCACCACTGCACCGCACCACTCTGTAGACTTCCAAGGATGTCCCAGCTAAACCAGAGCTCTTCCTCCCTTCGTTTACAGAGTACCCAAGCTGGTAAAATCTGATTTAAACAGGAACCAACTCTTGCCGCTCGCCGAACTATGTCAAAATTGTGACTCGTTCAAAAGAAAAAAGTTGGGAGGTCGGACAGGTTTGGCTGCCAAGAATACCTGGTGCAAATTTGCAAATGGAACCAAGAAAAATCAAGATCATTTACCTGGATTTTGCAACTCACATTAACTGGAGTGCCGTAGCCAGGCTGATACCCGATGATCTGCAAAAAAACCAAGAGTTTTTAAAAATTCCCTTTAAAAACACCGTTGATCTTCTAAACTCCCATTTTGCTGCAGGTAGAATGAAAAAAAACACAAGATCAGTAGCTACGGCCGCTTTGAACTTCCAATTGCTGTGTTTTCGAGTTCACGCAGCTTTCCTCAATCTCTCTTTACCCAGTTTTATTTTGATTTTCTTCATGAAATTTATAAACCCTGAGCAGAATGCCCAATATCTAGAAGAAGCACGTTTGAGACTGCCACCCGAGTTGAGATAATACGATATTTCAGCCAGTGTTTTTTCAAACTTTTGCAACATTAAGAAGGAATGGACTTCAACTCTCCGAAATGGTTGCCCGGGTCAAGCTATTCTCCAAAGCACCTTAAGGCAAGAACAAGAAGCAACGGATGGAAACTAATCAAAGAAAGAAGCAGCCTAGAACAAAGGAGAGGTTTCTTGACAGTTGGGAACAATTAACCAGTGGAATGGCTTCCCTCCAGAAGTTGAGGGTGCTCCATCACTGGAGGCTTTTAAGAAGAGATTGGATAGCCATTTGTCTGGAACAGTGTTATGGCCCAGCAGGAACCGTTGGAGCTGCCACCAGACTCCGACAGTGAGGGGCCCTATGAGTCTGCTTTGAGGGATGTGGAGGACCCTGGACTGGGTTCCAACTCCGAGCAGGAGGCGCCTGAGCCTTGGACCAGTGGGGAGGAGACAAGGGAGAGTGATCCGGACGTCAGCAGTGGGGAGGAGC